TTTGTCGATAACCATCATTGTTATCGATCGTTTTGTATTATTTAATAAATGTTGTATTATTTTATGAATATACTGATGTAATCTCGACGAATACTACGACAACTTGTTTTCTAAGCACTATTCGAGTAATTTACAACAACTGTTGAAATTTGTTGTATACTCAAGAGTTGGAGTGTAAACTTTGATAACTAAGTAAGGGGTAGAATATTAATTAATAAGCAAAACGCGTAATGCTTAACGATATCTTAATATCGTTTACGTAAGCTTAATCGACGTTGACACAGTTCGATTTATCGTGTTTACGATCACAATAGTCAAAATATTTTCTTTTAATCTTTGATCTAGTTTATCTTAGTCAGATATGTAATTATATTTGATATATAAAATTAATCAATTTAATTAACAAAATGGATTAGTTAAATTTAAATAATAATGTTAATTAATTCATCGCATGATACTCTAAAGTATATAGGTATATATACATACCTTGATATCCGTTTAGATAAGCTCGACCACGTCGCAGACGTATTACAATTTTGATTGGTTCCAGACGATTCGATTCCATCTAATACAAAGATGAAAGGAAACCACAGTCAAATCCTGAGATGATCGTTCCTCTGGAATCGTATGTCTCACGCATAATTCGTAATTAAAAGGTTCTCGAGAGTCTGCGAGTGTATTAGTTCATCGTCTGTAACGTTAAGAGGACGTCCCGGTAATACAGGGTGCCTCGTTTAATTGGATCTTCACAAGTATTAAATCCCATCGAGTATCGTACATTTTTGTTTATTCTTTCTTTTTTATTATTTTTTTATTTTATTTATTTTTCTTTTTATTAAATCCACTTGCTTTTAATTAGAGAATACGAAAATGATAAGATATTTTTTTTGTTTTGTTTTTGTTTTTCCATGAGATTCGCAATTATGTTACTTTCAAAGCCATCGATTTCTTCCATAGAAAAGAAAAAAAAAACAGGAAAAAAAAAGAAGATACAAAAAGGATATATATAGTAATAGGAATTCTAAAAAGAAAATTAACATTAATGATGTAAAGTTAATGATTTGGTAGTAAGGTTTATTATGAGATATTCGAAATAGACGTGTCAAATGAAACACCCTGTACGTGTTAGAAGGAAGATAGATTTGTCTTAAGACGAGTACGCGCTTACCTACGCTAGTTCTAATTGCAAATACGGAAGTAGAACCGTAGTAATGGAATTCTCACGGATTTCTTGGCAGGATATTACGAGTATGAGGAGAGAGGGGGAGAAGACTTTGGATGGGAAACGAGAAGCCTCGTCAAAAGGAACATCCTATCCTTCCAAAGGTATGAAACTAACCTTTTCGACGAATAAAGGAAGTTCATTGAATGCGGATAGATGATGGAAGAAAGAGAGGGTGAGGGACAGAGAGGGAGGGACTGAACATTGCTCGAAGAAGAAGAAGAAGAAGAAGAAGAAGAAGAAGCGTTGAGATAACTCTCGTATCGGTATTCCGTACGTCGACTGTATCGAGATTGATTCCCCGAAAGGTCAAAGTAGATTCTTAAGAAGTACGTGAATCGTATTTTGATATTATTACATTTACCACTTCCGTTAATCGAGACAGTTTCTTAACGATCAATTGACGACGTGTCTCAAATATATCTCCTAGTAAGAATAAAATTACATTTATTCATTACACGTCCATTTATTTCAATTAGTATTAGACATTAAAACATAATCCTTTAGATCTTCGAAAATATCACGGCATTCGTGTTTTTTTTTTATCCCTTTTACTTTTAGTCCGATCTAAATCACATTCACGATCAATCATAACGTAGAACATTATCATATTATTTATACGTTGTCCCCTTACTAAAAACATTTCAAAATTGTATTATAATAAAATATTATTATTTTTTCAGTCGGTGTCACGTGTTATTTTTTGTTCTTTTTCTTTTTCTTTTTTCTTTTTCAATTGTTTATCGGATTAGATTATTAAAACAAAATAAATGATTTCTCAAATCTCGAATACAGAAGGATTCGTGCTTACGTGCGCGACAAACGGAAGAGAATTTCCTTCTTGAGAAAGTATACTCTCCACCCCCCCTCCCATACTTCCCAGGTTTTTCATCCCACCATTGGGTTCGTTTCTACGAGCTTTAAGCGAACCTACTACTTCGCGGTTTCATTCTACCGACGCAAATAAGAACGGCATTAGATTTATCCACATAACACGGGGATTGGGGGTTGCTGTGTTGTGGTAGGGAGAGTAGGTAAGGGAAAGGATCTACCGATGCACTGAGGAGGAATATAGGATAGAGAGAGAGAGAGAAAGAGAGAGAGAGAGGAATACAGATAAAGAGGGAAAGAGGAAACGAAGGAAAGCCTTTTTCACGCATCTTCCTTCTCAACGTTGGCAGAAAACGCGCGAGTGAAAAGCGATAAACGACACGTCACAACACGTCGTGCGATATCAATTCGATCATCCTACGTTGCGCAACGAGATGCACGCGAAAATACATTTCTCGAGAATGTATTATCGGTCTTGTATAAGTATATATATATACGTGTGAAAAGTGAAGACGACACGTTCTTCTTCTTCTTCTACTTTTACATTTTTTTTTTTTACGTTAGAAAAAGTGTGTAACGTAAAATCATCCTAAGTAGTTAGATCAAGTAGGATGAACGAACAATATATTTCACGGTGTTTTTATTTTTTTTTTTATTACGTATTCCCCATTAAAGTAACACAAAAGAAAAGAAGAAAAAAAAATAAGAGTGTGGGCGCATTAGTAATATTAATCTCAAGAGACTTTTTCTAAAGATCTAATTGACCTACGGTTATCGATCTTCTTGCTTTCTTTTTGCTATTCTTTTTGTGTATATATATATATATATTTTTTTTTTTCTTTTCTTTTCTTTACACTTTTTCCTTTCTTTCATTCTTTCATTTCCCTAATAGAAAATTTTCATCTTCGAGTTATTCGAAAAGTTAACACGAACGCCTAGGCGTCAATCCCTTTTGCTTGTCACGTATCTTGACGACACGATGTATATCACTAATGGAAAATTTCCACTTTCTTCTGAAGCGTACTTTTCATTGTTCCCGTCGTAACGTTCTACTCCATTCTACTTTTCCTTCTGTTCTCCTATTCCACAGTCGTATATATATTATATATATATATATATATATGTATATATACATATTTAAATATATACATGTAGGTATGCATATTATATGTATAAGACATGTATATGCATCTACCTCCTTTTCACGAATTTCATCTGAGCCAACTATAGAAGATGAGGGGAGGAATGAGTGTGGGGTGACGAAGGGGGATGGTGTTATCTTTGCCGATTTTGCAGGTAGACTAGGTTCGTTTGTATGATAGTATTGGTAGTATAGCAACAGAGTCATAGATGTGTGTAGGTAAGTCGATGAGGTTCTACCTCGCGGTATCGCTTCCTCTTTGGAATCTAAAAATCCCTTGGTTCTTTTCGCCAGTGCACATTGTCGTCCATCAGACCGTCGTAAAATTTCTTATCTAGTTGACCATTTTTGGGGCTTAAGGAATCGGAAGCAGTGGTCGGGGTTATCTATATAAAACTGTCCGATATCATTTTACTTTCAATCAAATGTGTGCCATTTTGTGTATGAAAGTATGAAAGAATTAGTCAAAGTTAAATAAAAATTTTACCAATCGTTTACTCGCTGAAAACAAGATGGCTATCAAAGATTCTACTAAAACGTAAGATCGTATACGCATAGTATTTAAATTGATTGGCTAACGAAATAACAAGAATTCAAAGATATTCGATAACGTACGCAATTATGATAAAATCATATGATCTAATGTGAAACAGTGGTTTAATTAAACATCTACGTGTACARCGCGTATAAATAAATAATATCAATGATGAAAGTAAACAAGAATAAAATAAAAAATCGATGATACTGCAAAACATATGAATAATACGCGTTTCAATCTAACAAAAAAAAAAAAAAAAAACGTTAAGGAAAATAGAAAAACAAATAATAGAAAAAAGTGTATAAAAAATATAATTGAACAAATAGTAAGAGTATAACAAACAAAGTATAATAGAAAAGTGTAATAGAAGAAATAGATCAAAAAACAAAAGAAAAATACGAAACATCGACCGAAAAAAAAAGTGGCCCACGTGAAGTGTTAAAGTCAAAGAAGGAAAAAAGGGGGTAAGATAAAGAGGGTGCAAAAAGAAAAAAAGAAAAATACAAAAAAAAACAAAACAAAAACAGAAAAAAAAAACAGAAAAAAGAATATAAATAAGAAGAGAGTTTGTGGTCAAGTAAGAGAGTCCTTAGAGATAGACGTAGCTGTGTGTAAGGGTAAGGGGGTTTGGGGTAAGAATAAGAAGAGAAGGAGACTTGGAAGGTAGAAAGTAGGAGGTGGATGAGGTGGATGAGGATGATGAGGAGAAAGGGAAGAAAGGGGGTGTCGAGAGAGGGATCGGCGGCAGCCGACGCCGTTTGTGGCTTTCGGCCGAGTCTGCTCGGCTCTGCTCGCTCAGTCGCACTCGAACCGCGCATCGGTCAGGGTCGTGCGCGTCACCCTCCTTCTTACCTTCGCAAAGAGTGTTTTACCCCTTTTCGTGTCGTCGACGCGTGTATGCGTATCGTTCTATACTATACTACCATCTATCTCTCTCTTTCTATCTTTGTCTTTCTCTCTCTTCCTCTCTCCCTCTTTGTAACTGTCTTTCTCTGGATCTACCAACAACCCGCACGAGATACCACACCACACTATGGAACATGCGTTGTTTACCGACGACTCTTCCCGTTAAACACGCCCCGGTGAATAAACCAATAAGTCTCGTCGTCGGAACTTTGCTTGATTGAAATTGAAATTCTCTCAAGCGTAAGAAAAAAGAAGAAGAAGTAGAAGAAAAAAGAAATAAATAAAAAGTATATCGTGTTCCTGTGTCCCCCGCGACTCTTCTATCGGATTGGTTTTTTTGTTTGTTTCCATCTATTTTTTTTTTTTTTGTTATAAATTTTTATCGTTATCTTTATGAAATAATAATAATAATTATAATAATAATGACAGTGTGAGATGTTCAAGTGAGACGATCGTTTCTATTAAGTGTCGGTGATAATACGGGACGTATTCTGTTTCCTTTTTTTTTTTTATTTTTATTTTTTTTTCTCTGAATATATTTATTTCATCTTGAGAAAGAGAAGAAAACAAAATTAAGGAAGAAAAGGGAGGATACAGTAATCAGTGACACCTCGTTGGAAACTTTCTCATCATCTTTTCTGATACTCTTGAAGAAATAGTCCGCTTCAACTGGACCTACCATCCTTTCACAAATAACTTTGGATTATCTGGTGAGTACGAAACTTACCTAGAAAGAGATGGATTGCCCTCGGCGTAATCTACCGGTGACACGACCTAACCTTCATAAGGGATGGTCGTCCCGCGCTGCTATCTCTCTCTCTCTCCCTTTCTCCCTCTTTTTCTTTCCCTCTTTCATCCCCTCTCTCTATCGTGCTATTTGCAACTCTTTTCAACCCTTTACTCCTGACAAACATTTTTCCTTCTCCGTAATAAGTTTCTTTTTTTTCTTCTTCTTCTTCTTTTTCTTCTTCTTTTTTTTTCTTTACCGAGCAATGTGCAATGTATACCTTATGTGTTTGACGATACGTGTGACGGATGATGTTTAATCTTATTTGATGACAAGATAGTGAATCCATCGCGCTTATCTACACCTAAACAACCCCTTCCTGAAATTGATGATACTCGACGTACCATCGTGGTAAGAACAAGTGTTTACGATATCGTTCTGAAGTAAAGTATCATCCAAAACTCTTACATTCTGAAGACGTTCTTGACAGAAACCTGACACATACATAATTTTCCACAAATTTCCTGTCTTTTTTTCGATATCATTTCAACACGATTGAAAAAATACTCGTTAATCATTTTTCTTGATTTTAATTGATAACTATACGAAAATTTAGAATCATTATAACGAATATATTTTTATCGTTAAGATTTGTAAGTTTTTTTTTTTTCGTAATTTTACAGAAAATTCGCTCTTTCTTTCTCTTTTCAACGTTAGTTGAAGTTTCTTCTATAATACTTCTATTCACTTTAAAAAAAAAAAAGTAAAAAAGGAAGAAAAAAAAAATAAATGAAAAAACGGAGACTCGATAATTTTATGTATGAAGCGAAGTGGGAGATGTTAAAGATTACAGAAGGCTTCATCGGTGAGTGGAAGGTGACCTATAAATATTCACCGTCTTTTCGTACTCCATTGTCGTAAAATATACGAAAAGTTTTCGATCTAAAGAAGAGCTGCGGGTTGAGGGGATAGGAGGATGAAGTGTGATGTTGTCCTGTATACCAAATGAATAAATGCATCGTTCGGTGTTCTTCTTCCAAGGTTTACTCGTCCTTCAACTTTTCGAATATTCGCATATGTTTTTATTTTTTGCTTTTTTTTTTTTCAACCCTCCTAGTGGAGACGTTCTTTTTTTTACGCTTAGAACGCTAAAGTTCAAAGTGACGTTCTTTAAGAATCTCTCGAATCGTATAATAAGAACGAAATATTTTACAAAATAATAATATTCAAGAAAAAGAAATGAAAAAAACATGTAATAAATCTTAAAAAAAAAAAAAAAAACCAATGTAACGAGACGTATATCCGTAATATTATGATAAAACTATAAAAAAAGAAATGTAAAGAACGTAAATAGAATAAAAAAAAAAAAGAAAAAAGAAAAAACAGGAAAGAGTAAATCCTATCGTTAATTGGTTAATGTTCTTCATTAAGGAAGGACGCTTTAAAAAGTAAAAGAAGATTAAAAACGGCTGTCGCTTAGTTGAAAGGATAAAGAAGTGGAGAACTCGGAAAGAATTCTTTTATCGGATTCCCTATGGCTCGAGTTAAATCGATCGTCGGTAATCCCGATTCGTGTTTTTGACGTTTAAACATTGTATCTTGGTACGATGATTTATACCCCTTGCGATGGTGGAAACGTTAAAGCCGTCTATCGTCTCGAGAAGAAAATAATAAACTACGACATATTGTTTTCTTATATTTTAGTATTGTTACCATGGAAACGACGAGAAAAGGAGAGGGGTAAAGATTCATGCTTGAATTGGTACTGAGGGGTGGTTTGTAATACTTCATAGGGTTTGTAACTACTTCGTCGTTCTTAAGAATGACCTTAAAGTTCTACCCACACAATCCGTGTGACCTACGTTACACGTGATCTGGCAATTAGGTTTGGTCAAGCATATACTTCGGTGGTCAAAGGAACGATATTTTTCTTCTTGTAATGTCTCTATGGTCTAGGAAAGAGAAATTAGAAAGTAAAATGTTTAACGAATTTGAAACAAACAAATTCAAAGTTTTTTTTTTTTTCATTTCTTTTTTTTTTTTTGCCATTTTTTTTTTCTTTTTTTACGTATATAGATAGTACGTTCGCAGCAATTTTTTGGATTTGATTTCAAGCAAATTGACAGAATCAATCGACGGGAACGTTGTTCGTTGGTTGTTAATATGATATAATGTATGACTATAGTTGAAAAATAATCAATGAGAGATCATATCGCCGTTGAATCGAATTTTGACGTTGTACATTCTATACGCCCGTGTGCAATTTAATTTCGTCAGTTCGTGAATTTTCATATGCAATGTTCCGCATTTATCGTTACCTTCTACCCATTTACCTTCACCCAATGAGCTCACTTTTATTGTAAATGTATAATAATATATAATGAAATTAATGATCCGCTTATGTCATCTAAAATTAAATATTACACAAATTTTACATTTTTCTTTCTTTTTTTTTCATATAATCTCTTTCTCCGCTAATGTACGTATCGTTTTATCGATGATAAAATATCGACTCATTCAAATATTAATAATCTTTTCAATCAAATAGTAACGGAAGATTGGTAATAATTTTTAAATAAACACATTTACAACCAACATAATTAAGTTATCTCACATGGAAAAATAATTTTTGTAAGTAACGTTGCAAAATATCTATAAATCGTTTTCAACACTATATTTCCAATAATATTATCTCAGACGTATTTTTAATTAATTAAAACTAAAAAAAAAAAGACTCGAAAATTGATTATAATACGAAATAATTTTTCATGTATTATTAAATATTAACCGTAACGATCATAAGTGCAACACACTGTTCAACAAGAATGACAAAGGTCGAAGTGGTCTCGTACGACGTTTCGATTTCTGCACGGTGCAAGAAAGTATGAGAAATTGAAAGATTCGAGATAGGTGAGGTCGAGGCAGGTCTCTTATAAAGAAAGAATAAGAGAAAGAGAGAAAAAGAGAGAGAGAGAGAGAGAGAAAAATAAAGAAAGAAATAGACGTGTAAAGTCTCGGCACAGAGTCGCGTGAGACCGAGTGACTTATACCCACGTCTTTACTACACGAGAATACACTTATGCGCCAAGGCATTCATTTTCCGCTATCGTGAACTATACTAGCTTTCTCTCTCTCTCTCTCTCTTTCTCTTTTTCTGTCCCTCTTTATTTCCTTCTCTTACCCTTACTTGGCCGAGCTAGCAAAGAGATTGAAAAATTCTAGATAAGATGTTAAACTATCGAACTTTCCTTTCGTGTATGTCTCTTCAATATTTTTCTATCATTTCGCAAATGACTAAATAATAATAAATCCCAACGTTAATACTTTTTAAATTGTCTGTCATTCGAGATAAAATATTCAAATAATTTTTCATAAAAAGGGGAAACTTTTCTTATATACTTTTTTCATTTCTTTTCACAATAAATTGAAAATTATTTAGGAAGGTATGATTTAAGCTTCTCAAATAATATATGTGTATACGTACGTAGATACGTATTTGGTGAATATACAGGAAACAGGCCGTTAAAATAAAGAATCGTTCCTATCTACCGGCACCTGTCCCCTACTCTTCCCTCCCACCCTCTCTACCTCCTATGTTTTACAGATCGAGGAAAAAATATGTTTCACCAAGAGAGACTTTACTCGTGAATTATTGTTCGGTAGGGATTGTATAAACGAGTTTCTCCAATCGCGAGAGAACGGGGGGCTGGGCTCTCTACGTTTGACGATGCACTAGCATAAAATCCAAAACTCATCGTATTTGCTGAAATTAATCGTGGCCGGACTCACTGTTGCCAGCTGAAATGTACGAAGTTACGAATTCCTTCCACTCGTTCTCATACCCCGTGCCCCTTTAGATCTCCCCCTCCCCCCGTCTGCCCTACCTTGCCCTGTCCTGCTCTTCCCTTTCCCTCTGCCCCACTTCCCCAAAGTCCCAACGAACTAGCTTCACTTCGGTCCGTGCATATTTCGAATGACAACGCGAAATTATTTACCGCGCGTTTGCACACGAGTCTCGTATTAATGTCTTTCAGCTAGGTACCCTACCTTCGATGTATATATATATACATATATATGTGTATATATATTTATATATATATATATCTATATATCTATGTAATCCTTGTACATATCTATCTGCATTTTATAAAACTATACTTCGTTGGACTCAGGGAACGTCGACGTTGGCGCACGTGCGTGCTAATTATACGCTTAATTACGAAATGATTACCTGTAAAATGCCTTCTAATTAACGATCATGTACGGTGCAATGCTCTTTCATTAGAGAGCTAGCCTTGTATACGAATCAGGCGTGGAATAAATTATAAATATGATTTATAATCGCATTCGGTGAAACACCCGCGGCATGTATTCGGAAAATTGTTACCATCGATGAATTTACCTCTCTCTCTCTCTCTCTCTCTCTCTCTCACTCACTCTCTCTTTTACCCTTTCTCATTTCCCTCTGTTTTTGCATGGAAATAATCGTTTCAACTGTGCGTCTGAAAAATCAGAGATTTAATGGTAACGTCAAACAATGTCTAAAACAGATATATATATATATATATATATATATATATATATATATATATACATATATATGTATATGTATATTATAATTTAATGAATTCGTGCTAATGCGGTGGAAAACTTGCCCGGGGAGTTAGCATGATTCATAAAAGGTTTCTACAGAGAACCAAAACGGATATACTTTCTTTCCGTGTTGTATCGTTAATGCATACACACCGCCGTATTGTAGGTTGTAGCCCGTTTACGAGCTATCATATACGGTATAATGCGAAAACCAGTGTACTTTTCAATGGAGATAGAAAAAGAAAAAAAAAAAAATGAAAAATATGAAAGAAAGAAAAAGAAAAAGAGCATTTAAAATTTCCATTTGTTCGTAATACGCAGTCATTCCTATCACGAACCTCACAATCGGACAAGAAAGAACACAATGTGGGGGTTGGTAACCGAAGCGAAAGCTCGTCTCGGCTAGCGCTGTTTCGAGTGGATGAAAAGGTGTGCATGAAAATGTTTTGAAGTATAATGGTGGTGCTTGACCGAAATAGCAAGCCACGGCGGAGTCGAGAAAGTGTTCTCAAAGGCTGTGATACTTGCAACGTGACTACTGTACTCTCGTGTTCGCATCGTCTGTCGGAGATAGGCATGGAAGTGGTAATGGTACCTTTGAGAAGTAGAAAAGAATACACTGAGAGAAAGAGATAGAGGATGCTTTCTCAAGAGTTTCATACGTTTTTAAGGATTTCGATTCGTCGACGTGTGTTAGATACACATACATTATATTTTTGTTTAAGTGACAAGAACTCGTTCCTTCAAATGAATTCTTCAAAAGCGTTTGTGTACCATGTGTCCTTATCTTCTGCATGATATTACTATAAAGGGGGAGT